AACTTCCTCTTGACTTCACCTCCCCCCGACTCCACAGTATATAAACTGTCACACTTACAAAGGCAGCTCTTTCTGCCCACGGGACCTGTCCCTGAGCTTTAATAAAATCATATTTTCGCACCAAGATGTCAAGAGTTCTTTCTTGGCCTTTGGCTCTGAACGCCCCCCCCAAAGGCTCCAAAACCCCATCAGAGATGTGTTAAGTGCCTGAATAGACATGTGCTAAATGCCCAAAGTGATGTGCTAAGTGCCTGAAGAGGTGTGTTAAGCACCTGAATAGAGATGAGCTGAGTGTAAAATACGTACACAGCTCATTAAAAATTTCTGTGGTGATGAAATGTTGACATGATCTTTTCACATGCTGAGTTCAAAAGAATACATTACAATTAATTTTACGCATTTCTTTTTGCTTTGTTTAATGTGGCCACTGGAATATGTAAAATGACGCACTCATTCGCACGGTTTCAGGGACCAGGTAGGCAGGTGTCCCATTGCTGCCTGTTCTGCCAATTTACCAGGAGAAAAAAGGTGTTTCAGTATCTATGGAAAACTTTCTGATTTTGTATTTTTTTAGAGAGAAAGAGAGACAGAGTGTGAGCAGGGGAGGGGCAGAGTGAGAGAGGGAGCCTGACGTGGGGCTCGAACTCACGAACCGCGAGATCATGACCTGAGCGGAAGTTGGCCGCTTAACCGACTGGGCCACCCAGGTGCCCCCGAATTTTCTGATTTTTAATGTTCCCAAAGGTATTTCTTGCTCCTCCAATGTGTTCAGAAGTTCCTGGGGGTCTGCTTTCCACTTTCCTTGATAAAAATCAGTGAAGCTTTCACACCCATACTGGTGGCCTCCACAGCAGAGGCATCCCATGTTCCCCCTCCTACAACCCCGAATGTCCGTGTCACCCACCCGAGGAGGGGGCACCCCACCCCAGGCCCAGGCGTGTTCCTGCTGGCTTGTGCCCATCGGAACATCCAGCTGCCCAAGCCCCCGCCCTGGACATGTAGCCCTGGGACCTGGGGGGGGACTTGTGGAGACTCAGACTCTCCTTCTTGCTGGGCTGGAAGTGGAGGACCAGCAAGGAAATTCCAGCAGGAATGGGAAGTGGACCAAGGCAAGAGTGGACTCCTGTCCTTACCGTCTGAGCTGCAAAACCCAGCCTGAAGCCTGCCCCACCTCCAGACCCTTGACAGGATGACCCGCTCAGTCCCCTGCCTTGTCCAGGCAGTTTGCGCTGGCTTTCAGTTATTTAAAGCTGAAAATCTCTGATGCCGCTACGGACAAGGAGCATAGAGCCTTTACCGTTCACGTTCACCTGCTTGCCACACCAAGCCCTGTGTGAAGCCATCCAGTCTCTGACCACAATCTTATCTTTCCCCCAGGCTCCTCAATCACGAAAACCACAAAGACCTCTGACCTCACAGCCCCTCACCTCCAAGCCGCCCCGCCTCCCACTCCCGGCAAAGATTCCTTTTCCCATCATTTCAGTGATTTTCTTGTCAATACCTTGGCCTCTCCTCTCCCCTGGCCTTTTGTACCACACTCTGTGTATCCAGCAAGGCTCCAGCCACCCGCTTAGGCTTGGCCAGGGCTGCAGGGTGAGATGGGGTGGGAGGGCCGTGGCCCCGGGCGCCAGCTCCCAGCCCCCTTGCTCGTCATTTCAGGGACCCTTCGCAGCGCAGGGCGCAGCTCCCCGCCATCCTCACTGGAGCGTGCCTCTCCCTTGGCTCCCCTGCGCTTTCCGCCCCGGAAGCCAGGGCTGCCTGGGTCCCAGGCTGGGTGTCTGCCTCTCGCGGCCTGGCTGGGACGTGTGTGTCCCGCCCTGGGCCAGGGGTGTTTCTGTGGTCTCGCAGCCCCTGGCGGGACGGCACACAGGATGTGCTCGCAGTGTGTACCCCCCACAGTGCCTGGCCCCACTCTGCCATACACACAGGTCTGCGGAACCACCCCTGTCCTCTCCCAGCCCTTCCCATCGCTCTCAGGCCCCCGCTCTCC